CTTCACTTTGTAGCTGTCAGGGGGCCATTCCCTACTCTTGCTTTGTACCTTTATTCTACAGTCCTTCCCCTTTATCATCAGCACTCTCCTTCCTGCCCCTGCCTCATTCTTTCTTTTTTCAAGGACCCAGACAACTCCCTCCACCCACCCATTTAAGAGCTATTCCATCAAACAAAATAGATTCCTATTGTTTTCCACAAAATTCTGTCAAAATAACTTATCCTGCTGGGTAAGTGATTCAGGAAGAAACCAAACATTAATTCTCAACTTAAAAACTGGTTTAGCATAATTATTGAAAATAGGACTTCGAGGAATCAGACAGAATCCCAGCTCTCCCCATAAGTTCAGCGTGACCTTAGGCCAGTATGTCATCTCTCTAAATCTGTGGTCAACTGTAAAATAGGAAAATGTGTCACATCATTGGGTAGAGCAAGGATTAAAAGAGACAAATGACATAGAAAGCATTTAGCACTAGACCTAACACAATCAATGCTCGATAAATGGTAATGGTGGTCGCGCTTGCTACTTTTTCTCATTGTTCATAGCAACTTCCAGATTGTAAGCTTAAGTACGTTCCCTTGACTTCTCTTGCCTAGACATCTACTGTGTTTTCATGGGCATGCTTCAGGATTTGCCTAAGTGAATGTGTCCACTGAATAATCCTGAAGGATGACTTACCACAGAATTTCTGAACTTGAGCCAGCATTTTTTGACAGCCATTATCTTGCTTGGCCCTTTGTTTTCTCCTAGCCAACAGTAAGTCGGAAGGATCACCTGTGCTCTCTCATGAACCCTCCAAGGTGAAACCAGAAGAATCCAGGGACATTACCCGACCTAGTCGACCAGCTGTGAGTGCTTTTCTCTCAGAGTTTTAAACTCTTAATTTACCAGAGAACCCACTGGATAAAGCGGTTAGGGATACACCCATGACTATAAAACAAGAATTGATTAGATTAATAAGAAAAATGGATGCTAGGAGCATCCAGAAGAAAGTCATACTCGATAAGGAAAGAACTGAACAGATCTTAGATTGCTTATCTGCCTTTAGGTATTTGCTAATCATTAATGAATAACTGATATCATTCTGTAATTTCTACTCAGCAGGTTTGAAAAAAAATTTTGCAACTAGCAGTTAAGGAGATTTGGGCACTTTCTATGGGTTTCTTTTATCTATTCTGTCCTTTCTCCATGTTATTTTCTATATGAAATAATATTACAATTTTTCTGCCACTTTTCATGCCTTTAGGGCTATATTTTCAGGACCAACACCAGATAAGCATGGTCTGACAGGGGGCCTGACAACTTGAAATCTGCACTGCTGTAACACGACAGACCCCAAGTAGCCTTAAAATAAAAAATAAGAGCATGGAGGCCGAAATTTGAAAAATAACTTGGGAAAAGTTACTATCCACTTAAATTTTCCAAGAATCTTTTCTGTGAAATGAATGTGAAGGCTTTTTTGTTTACTCTGTTTATTATATTTTAAAGTAAGAAAGTATAGTGAGAGTTATAATGAAGAGAATTTGTACCATTCTGGATTGAGACTCTGCTGTTTTGCATTTATCGGTTGTGGACTAATGACTCCCATTTTATGTCTAACCTGCTGCCTTTCTTCTGGCTTTTCTCCTTCCTGTGGATTCTTCTGGATTGGGTTCTTATCTCAGAGCTATAAGAAAGCTATAGATGAGGTTAGTATACCTTTTCTTGGTCTTGCTTTCAAAAAATGTAAACATAAAACTGATTTCCTGGTGTTGACATTCAGAAAAATGGCCAGTTGGATCACAGATTTAAAGTTCACTCAATTGGAGTGATCTGCTGTGAGGAGCACCCCTTCAACAAAAGCTAGCCCAAGACCCTCAGACATCCATATAAAGCTCCAGAGTCCTTCCTTCTTAGTCAGAATGTCACTTTTTCAGTGTTCCAGTCTGGCTAAAGAAAAGCATCTGTGCTTTGTTATAGGCAGTTTCTCATTCCATTATCTTCCAATAGCAAAGCCTGAGCTTTTAACCTGCACTTGCCAGCCTCGCTAGGGGATGGTAGTTTTGCTAATAAAGAAAAGATATCATTCTAGGGCACTCCACATTTACAGTGTTGATTTGTGAACAAGGAGTTACTGGGTATTATTATATTAATTTTGTGGAACGTTAACTACAGTATTAGCAGCAACATCAACTTTAGTTAATGAATACCGGCGAGTTAAGCAACTTTAAGTCCTTTTCTGTGGAGACATTTTCCCATTAGAAAAATATATGGTTTTGTCAATGTTAAGTAGCTTGTTCAGAAGGATAACTGCTGTTTGTCAGACGTACATGAATACAGCATAGTGGAGTTTGTTTTCTTTTTAAGAGATAGGCCTTGCAAAGAGTCTTAACTGCATGGACTCTGAAGAATGCCATTATGACTTAAAGGCTGTAGTTCTGCTGAGCACTATTTTTGTAAAATAAGATGAAAAAAGCACTGGCTCTAGGATCAACAAGCTGCATTCAAATTCTAGCTCCACCAATAAGTAATTGTCTGGAACCAGTCTTATAACCTCTCTAGACCACAGTCTCCTCATCTGTAAAATGGGGATTAAAACAAATGCCCTGCCTTGCTCACAAGATTGCTTAAGATAACTCAAGATCATGTGTGCAAGAGCATTTTATGAACTGTGAAATGCTGTGTGAAATGCTGCGTAAAGCCAAGAGATTGTCCTCATATTAAAGTTTGGGCCAGAGATATGGGCTATCTTGGCAGATGAGAGCAGCATGTTTCTATGCATCTGATCTTTACCAAAGAGCCTCACTTTTTCAGAATTATGACTGCCTCACCACTCAGAGTGACTTAGAAAGTAATTTTCATGGTTAAAGGAGTCTTGCTTATAAAAGAATGAGACTCTACATGTCTGCAATGTGCGGATCTCTTATACGATGGAAGAAAGGGAAGGTTTTTAATTGTTCTGTGCCTCTGCCCTGCTTCTTTACCTCATAATAGAGAGAAGGACAGGGTTTATCACAACTTTTATTAATGTTCTCCTAAATAGTTGAAAAAAGAGAATGGTATTCTGGTCCTCTGGCTACTAATAAAATGCTTGTATGTGGAAATCTCGTGAGTCCAGAAAGTGGCATGGAGGTGGCCATGAGGGAAAGTGTTCTCACGTATTTCATCTAGTTAACCCGGGATATTTTAGGCTTTTAAAAATTGTTTTATTTTGGTATACTTACACACTAGTCAGCGATGGGGGTGGGGAGGGTTACAGAGGTACAAGTAATTATAAGTAATTGAGGAAATGTAAGCTGTTCACCAAAATCTCTGAGGCCATGTGTGGTTTTAAAAACAAATCCCCCTAGGTAATTCTGATAACTCTAACTCCTGAGTATCTCTGATCCGAGATAACTTTGATTCTAGTTAACTCAGTGGTTCCCGATCAAGGACGATTCTTTTCCTTCCTTCCCTCCCATTAGGTGACATTTGGCAAAGTCTGGAGGCAGTTTTGATTGTCACAACCTGGAGGTTGGAGAAGTGCTATTGGCATCTTGTGGGTAGAACAGGGAGATGCTGCTAAACATCCTACAGTGCAGAGGAGAACAACCCACAATAGAGAATTATCTGGCTCCAAATGTAATAGTGCCACAGTTGAGAAACGAATTAAACCTTCCTCCTGTCTCTTTCCAGTGACTGCTTTGCCATTTAGATAACCCAGGATTATCTGTCTGATTAACTATTTTGAAAAATTATTGCTTGTTATTGCTAATTTAGTGGTTTGATTTTTCATAAAAATCTATCCAGGGGAATGTCCATTAATTTCTAATGGAATGTGAGATTGTGCAGCATAGTCTGTGATTAATTCACACAACCTTTGAAAATAAATATTCTTTTTACTTTAGCACAACAAAATATATGGTGTGAGGATTATATACACACGCAAACATTGGCTTCACCACTATTTTTTCATAAGTATGTAGGAATCTAAAAAAATTCCAGAGCACATCCAGTTTGGACAAAACTTGAGCAGTAGATAGATGAGGTCACTGAGGTTAAGTGATTTCCCCAATGGTATGTCTTTAGATTTCTTGAAAAGGAAAAGAAATTATTTTAATATGTAAAGAAAAGACCAGCTTTAAATCTTTAACTATTATTTTAATAGTTCAAAAAATTGAACTAAAATTTGAATAAACTGTATTATTTCTAAGAAGAGAGCTAAGAGTGTACCTCTTTAGGTAAGATATTCATAACTGTCAGAGTAAATAAGTTTTTATGAATGAAAAATTATATCAAGTTGATTCTAAAAAGTATTATATCAAAGAAACTATTGGGTAAAAGCCTCTAACTATCTTCACATTTACTCTGTAGTCAAAAAATCTTTTGCCATATTTCTTTTATAGTTATATAGTCTCAACTGTCTTCATGCTAAATAGCACCTTTTCCCTTTTTTAATACTTTTTAGCTCTAGGCTTGAGACAGCCAAGCAATAAATTACCACAAAAACTCATTATATGGAGAAAATTGGTATTGTCAGAAAATAAAATGTATGAAAAGAGATCTGAACTCAGTGGTGTCACTTTTTGGTCATGTCTATTTCCTATAACTTTGCTATTGTAAAATTTTCCAGAGTGGATGGATAAGGAGCAAAACTTCAGCTAAACATGTAGACTATTGGTAATGGAAGATTAAATTTTTTTGACTGGGGATGTTACTTTTGAGTTATTCATTATTGTTACTTAGGGATTTTCATATATGTCTCAACTTTCAAGCTGTTGCCAATTCAACTTAAAAGGAATTTGCAATTATTTTTAATGTTTCAGAAAGATAACTTATTAATAATGCAGAAAAATCTAGTTAAAAACAAAATTATAAAACATTTCAAAACTTTAAAGTGTTCCTAAATACAGTGTTTGGAAAAATTTAGGTCATTTTAATAAGTTATTTTAAATCAATGGGCTTCAGACCAACTAAATATCTCTAAATATATTTTTTTTAAATCTCCTTTGTCTTGTTTTGAAATGTCAGAGATAAGGAAAACCAACCCATGGGGGAAATGTATTATTAATGTAAATAAATTGTAGCTAATATCATTCTATTTTACTCTATTAACATCGGAAATAAACTCTTTTAAAGCATATTCTCTCTTCAAATTATAATAAAATTTATTTTTAATGATGAGTAATATTTTAAATGCTAGTTATATTCTTTGATGAAACGTACCATGATCCTAACGTATAGAACACAAAATACAAAATAAATGTATCTAATTTGTTATTATTATAGTGGTTTGGAGGATTTTAATATCCTTTTTCCTTCATAACCTTAACAAATATCTAGACTATATTTTCCCAATGTGCTCAAGCATAGCATGCTCTTCACTTTGTTCTCAATTTGATAAAGATAACCATTGGCAATTGTCAAGAGGAAATAAAAAGTAAAAAGCTGAAATCTGAATATTAGCTTTTCCTATTTTGGCCCTTTGCCAAAGAAACCAGAAATAAATTTGCATAAAATTTTATCTTTGTTTAAATTGTCCTCTTTTTTTAATGTTATACATTGTATTTAAACACCTAGAGTCTTTTTATTATGTACAATTCTATTTTCATTTTCATGGATGAGGCAAATATATCCGCTGAGATTGATGCCATGCTTGTGTGTATCTCTGCACATGTGTAAAAGCCCAGAAAGCATGTTTGGGTGGAAAATGCACAATTTGAATTTTCGAAAGCTTCCTTTTTCCAAGGACTTCGATTCAAGTGACTTCAGAATAAATTTAAAAGTCATTATTGCTTTCCCTTTGATTTTTACGAAATTAGAAAAAAAGAAGTCCTTCATTTAACACTTTGAACTTCCTAAATTTCTAGACCAAATAAACACTTCAAGTGTTTCCTCTCCTAGTTTTAACCAATATAGTAATGCCTGACATACAGGTGACAGTAAAGAAACATGATGATCTATTGTCTTCTCAAAATAAAATTGTCGTTTAATCATATGCATTTATCATAGTTTTTGCTAATTAGGATAGATTATTAAATGCCATTTAAATTACCTACTTTGCTTTAATTCTACATCAGGTGAAATTAGACAGATACATTTCTGGATTGAAATAAAGAGAGAATATGGACATAAGAAAACTGTGGGATTTAGTATCTTGCAATGAGTTTCTTTCTCCCTAATCCCGTCTCTCACCGAATGTTCTGATTCCCACATGGGTCACTAATATAGGGAGAAATGGTAAGACTGATGTCAAATTGCTTTTTCCTCATTTGCATGCTGTGCGCCATGGGCAATTTAACCCATGCAAATTAGAGCTGCCATGCTTTTGCAGAACTGCTTCCCTCTGCATTGCTCTGAAAGCATGTAAAATAAAAGGTAGTCAGATATTCAGCACACTGCCTGCAATATGCCTGGTGATTAAGTACCACATCATCACATCCGTCAGGCTAAAGGTTTCATCATACTCATGGAAAACTGAAAAATTATCTCTTCCTTTTGGTGTTTGTGCATTCATTGTAGTAGTCCTCACCAGGATTTCTGCCAGGTTACTGCAATTTAAACCAAAAGAAAATGAAACACCTATAATTCTGGAAGAGAACTCTCTTTTTTATTTATTATTTATTTATTTTGTTGTTGTTGTTCCTCTTGATTAACTCAGCTCTGTGGCTATAAATTTCAGTGGCACCGGGCTTTGGGTTGGGCCATTATTTGATGTGGCACCTCTGCTCTCCAAGGAATAATGATTCACCAAATGAGTCATTGTTGTAGGTGGAATCTTGGGAATTGCTCTGTTCTGTGACTGATCATAGATTTTGGTACAGTAGCAATCGTAAGAGGGGAAAGGCCATGACTTTGGCTTGGGCAGGAGTCCCACAATACTGGGAAACAATTTCTAATCCTGTGCGTTTTACCATTAACTCTGAGGGTGACCAACTTCACCTTCCCAAAGTAAAATGAGAACCCAACGTTTGTATGTATGTGTACATGCACAGTGTACATACACATATATACACGTGTATATTCAGAACTGAACAGTCTCGGTCTAGCAATTGGTTTTAAATGAAGTTTAAATTTATTTTACCTTTCTTTTCTAGTATCTACACACTACAAACATCGTTTTCTTAGTTCCGTGCGGTAACTGTGTTTGTAATAATTCTATATAGAGCTTTTTTCTTGTTGCTTAAGCTGGAGCACTGACTTGCTGAGAGATGTAGCTCTGATGTCTACAATTCATACATGCTGAATAAATTTTTCATTTGTAGGATCTGACGGCGTTAGCCAAAGAATTACGAGAACTCCGGATTGAAGAAACAAACCGCCCGCTGAAGAAGGTGACTGATTACTCCTCCTCCAGTGAGGAGTCAGAGAGCAGTGATGAAGAGGAGGAAGATGGAGAGAGTGAGACCCATGATGGGACGGTGGCTGTCAGCGACATACCCAGACTGATGTAAGAGGACTGCTTTTTAAATGTAGGCCAGGAGTGGCTATGCCTTCAAAACGAAAGGACAAAAAATATGAATTAAATATAAGAGCATTTTTGAGTCTCTGGCAGGATCAATTGACTTTTGGGATTTGAAATTTTACTAGATCATAGTTCTATAATTGCTTCTCTTCATAGACACAGTCATTTATGTAGCGTTTCTGGGCCTGCATGTGCTTTAGGTATTGTTGTTGGATTGGCTATCTCTTTGGTGATGCTTTTCTTGGTTCTTATCATTTCAGGGCAACAAATACTGACAGCCAGACTGTTGGTTTATGCCTGTCCATCTAAAATTGAAAGAGTAAAATAATGGGCAATGACATTTTGGGATTGAAATTAAAAACCAACCTGAGACATATGTTCCATCACCACCATCACCACTAAATGAGGAGGAATGTGCATGGCAGTGTGGGGTAGCATCCCAGTAAAAGAATCAGGAGTCAGATAATCCTGCAAGAAATTTCTGAGTGTTTGACTCAAATCCATCCCTCATATTTCTCTGCTTCATCTTCTTCATTGTCTTTTTTTATGTGATACTTTTTCCTGTGGCCTGTGATTTTGCCACATACATTCTGACTGTCTCTTTGAAATAGTCTTTTTGGATATTTATATTTTTATCTACTTAAAATTCCCTTAGTATTTACACCTTTTACATATTTTCTTTTCTTTTTTTAAGTGAGGCTTACTTTTTCTTTTTCTCACTGAACTGGATCCTGTAACAGAATCCCTCCTCTTTCCATATTACTTCCCCGATTCAAGCAAACATATTCATACAATGTCACTCACATACGTCTCTCATTTCCACCTTCCCCCCCGCCAAAAAAAACCACAAAGAGCTTTTGCTCTTGTCTGCTATAATTTTGATAGCGTGAGATGCTAATTTTTCCAACTTTACTTCTCATTCATCTCCATTTCTTTGGCTCACCTACTACTATTGGTCATCATACCACACTGACTCCTCTAAAAGCAAATCCATCTCTTCCTCTACTACAGAAACACCTACCTTCCTAAAATTGCATGAATAGACCATGCCAAGCTTCAGCTCTGCTGTTTGGCACTCTCCTGTCCCCTTAGAAATCACCCATGATGGCCTGGCCTACACAAATAGAGCCCATCCCCTCTTCTGTGCTGCTGCTCTATCTAGAATATATCCCTGCAGTTTCATGTAATGCTTCCAATTGGGATATTTATTAGATGTTGTCTCCCTCTCTGGGCTGTCAGATCCCTGAAGGTGAGAATTGTACCTTGTTCATCTCTCTACTTAACAACTTGCATGGCTGTCTGGAATAGAGTTGGTCTTCAGTGACTTTGATTTCCATTTAAAACAAAAAAATAAAATTTGTCATCCAAGATAGAAAGGAACATGGGGTAAAATTAGAATCCTGAGGGGAAGGCTTAAAGTAGAGGCACAGAAGGTTGGTGCGAATGTCAGGTGTATTAAGGGGAATGTCTGGATGAGCAAGAAGTGTGCACTTGATCATGTAGCCACGGGAGAAGTATTGAAGTTCTCCTGAGCTGGGAATTGACATGATCAGTGCTATGTTTGAAAGAAATCATTTCAGTGAGATGATTTCGAAAGAGAACAAACTAGAAACTTGTAAAACAATTCACAGGATCAATTACTATAATCCTGAGCAATAATAAATGGGTTATCCTTGAATGCTTATAGTGGAGACAAAACTTGATATAGTTGTTGAAGAATTGGTAAATTCTAGAGAGATTAAAATGATCATCCATTAAAGAACATTTAAAATATTTAATTATATACGAGGCATCCTCAGAGAAAACAGGATACAAATGTGTGTGTTTATTCCAATTTAGTAAATATATACATTTTCGTGAATATAAAATATACACAGTATGTTCTACTACAGCATGATAGTTGTATGCCTAAGAAACATCACACTATTAACAAATTATTTCTTTAGGAATAGGCTATTTGAGAGTTAGAGTGCTCCTTACATACATTTGTATCACTTTTATTGTCTATTGTTAAGATAAACCTTTACATTTTGTGCTATATATTTTTAGAGCAAAATATAGAAAATATATTGCAACACAGGTTACTTCAATGAGGCATATACAAAATAGCTTCTCAGAAACGGAGCCCAGCCATTCAGACAGGCAGCTGTAATTCTTGATGTGCAAAACAACACCCTTTTTTCTCTACAGTGCTGGTTTCAAATTTATAGCATAACATCTAACCTATAAGAGTGCACATAGCTAACATTATATTCCTTAACCAATTGCACTACTTTCCAGTGCCTCGTGCATAGAAAAATAATGAGTGGAAGGAAATAGAGCAAAATTATAATAGTGATCACCTCTGGATTATACTAAGAGGAATGTTTGTTTTATGGATATCCCTGATTTTATGATGATCAGGTTCTGGTCCTGTTAGTGTTGTGGAAGCAGAACTCAGTTCATGCTATTTACCTGCTACCCTACAACTGTTTCCATTCCTGGGGCCAGGGATTGTCCCAGCACCTGTTCCTGCCAAACTAACCTCCTCAAATGCCTTACATGCTCCCAATGTTGTGCCTTTACTTGGAATGACCTAGTCCCTTTGTCCCGCATTCTCACGTACATCCTGTCTTATATTTAAGTATTTGTGTTGTGTTTTTATGCCCGTCTAGGTGCTAACTTCTTTAGTTTCAGAAACCATGTCTTATTCAGTTTTTATATTCACTTCCTATTGCCAAACTAAGGGCCTTTCATGTAGCAGGTGTTCAATAAATGTGTTTTGAATTGAATTAAATCAATACCTACAGGAACACTTTGACAAATCCAGTTAGAGGAAATTATTTTTCTAAACCTGTGCCTTAATTACAGTAAATTTCCCATAGTTATCCTTCTAATCAGTAGAGATGTTTTGTTTGTAGTGTTTATAGGAATTTAGACAATTTTTTCTACACAGACTCTATATCAGAAAAATAATTTTTAGAACAAAGGATTATTTAACTATAAAATTTTATAGTTATTTTAGCCTTAGTTTTTTTGAATCATTGCTTTTTTAAAGTTCTTTTATTATTGTTTTATTTTTTAGAACAATTTTAGATTTACAGAAAAATCGAGCAGACAGTACAAATTTCCCATGTTATTCTTCCCATTTCCTGCACACAGTTTTCCCTATTATTAGCACAGAACATTAGTATAGTACATAGGTTACAATTAACGAACCAGTATTGATACATTAACTAAAACCCATAGTTTATTCAGATTTCTTCACTTTTTACCTAATGTCCTTTTTTGTTCCAGGATCCCATCCAGGATACCATATTTCACTTAGTTATTTAGTTGCCATGTCTTCTTAGTCTGTTCTTGGCTGTGACAGTTTCTCATATTTCCTTTGTTTTTGATGAACTTGGCAGTTTTGAGGAATACTGATAAAATATATGGTAGAATGCCACTCTGTTGGAATTTATCTCATGTTATTATCATGATTAGACCAAGGCTATGGTTTAGGGGAGGAAGATAATGGGTAATATGTCATTGTTATCACATCGTATCAAGGGTACGTACTGTCAACGAGACTTGGCATTGACCTTGATCATCTGCCTGAGGTAGTGCTTGTCAGGTTTCTCCACTGTCAAGTGAATTTTTTCCTCCTTTCCATACTGTATTCTTTGGAATTAAGCCATTGCACAGCTACACTTAAGGAGCAGTCATGTTCCCCTCTTTTAGTGTGGAATATCTTACATATTGTATTTGAAATTCTGCACAGGAAATTGGTCTCTTCTCTCTATTTAATTTATTCAACCATTTATATCAGTATAGACCCATTCATATTTATTTTATACTTTGGACTATGATGCAGACCTTCTTTGTTTTGTGCCTAAAATTGTTCCAGGTTTGACCATTGGAAGCTCTTGTGTCCCTTTGACTGACATCCCCCATCAAGCACTTTTTTACCTTCTGACACTATAAGATTTTCCAGGCTCATCTTATGTATTCTTGTTCCAGTCCTGGAACCAACCATTTCTCCAAGGAGTCCCAATTTCTTTATTAAAGAATGATATTGGAAACCAAAGATTCGGGTACTAGGTGTGCTCACTGCAACTGGAGTATCATTTATTAGAGGCACTCTCAGCTGCCAAACAAGGAAATATATGTGTATATATTGTCCTATGTAGGTACACATATCTATAAATATTTCTGTATACAGTCATGTGCTGCTTAATGATACGTTCTGAGAAATGCATCATTAGGCGATTTCATTGTTGTGCTAACTTCATGCAGTGCACTTACACAAACCTACATGGTATAGCCTACTACACACTAGGCTGTATGGTATAGTCTATTGCTACTAGGCTACAAACCTTTACAGCGTGTTACTGCATAAGACAACATGAGATTAAATCAAGCACAAGAGAGAATAATGTGATCAGTAGATGTAAGAGGCTGCTGCTGGCATAATACAGCATAGTGTTTTACAGCAAACTTCTTTTTTATAAGTAGAAATAAATGATTCAAATAATGATCAAAAGAGTATACTCTAATGATTAAAAGAATTGTGTAGTAGATAGATAAACCAATAACATAGTCATTTATTATCATTATCAAGTGTTACGTACTGTACATAATTGTATGTGCTATACTTTTATACAACTGGCAACACAATAGGCTTGTTTACACCAGCATCACCACAAATGTATGAGTAATACATTGCACTACAACATTATGACAGCTACGAAGTCACTGGACAATAGGAATTTTTAGCTCCATTATAATCTCATGAAAACAACGTCGTATATGTGGTACATCATTGACTAAAAAGTTGTTATGCAGTGCGTGACTGTATAGCCATCTTTATATTAAGCTTAACATGAGTTCATCTTGATATCTCCAATGTTGATCCATTACTACACAAATCATTCTAGCTTCCTCCTCTTCCTTATCTGTAAATTCCCATTCCAACAGTGAGAAACCAGGATCTCACTATCTACCAATCATTTACCTAACTGTTC